CGACATTTCCGCCGGGTTAACCCTTTTCACGGGGGCGGTAAATATTCGGCAAGGAATTCGACGCCCCCCGACCGAATTTAATTAATTCCTTTATCCGAAATAGACGTTTCACGTCCGCCCACGATCTCAAAAAGATCTACAATTTTCAACGATAAGCATGTTTCGATTCAACTTGGTTTATTTGTCAAACCCGTAATTACTATTAAAGTTATACCGTGGCAGGGCACGCCGAAAAAAAAAATTGTAGTAGTAGTAATAGGGACGATAACATTGAACTGAGGTGGCTTTTACTTGACGAAAATCCATTTATCAAAACAAATAAGAACTAAAAGTTCAGATTTTCGTTAAGCAAAAGATTTGAATGTTTCTTTTTGTCCATGGCTTCCAATAAATTTAATTTTCTACTTTTTGTGGCTGTATGTAAAATATCAAAATTATCGTCAAAAATGTGTTTTTCTGCATTTAAGTGTGTAGCATAATTAGAATCTACACTATAATTTTTAAACGCTCTTTCATGTTCGTTAATGCGTTTCTTGAAGGATCTACCTGATTGTCCGATATAAATTTTAGGACAAGATCCACATTTCAACCTGATTTTTGAGATTTTGGACATTTCGTTTTATTGTTTTTTAAAAATTTTCCTATTGTGTTGTTAGTTCTGAAAGTTATTTTTAAACCACATTTTGACAAATGTTTTCGCAATTCATACGGTATCTCAGAGGCTCTAAGAATTTGGCAACGTTGTAAATACATTTTAAATAGATGCAAAAAATGCAACTTCTTTTTTTCTAATCTATACCGGCTAAATAAATTTTACCGTTTCGCAGATGGAAATAGTGATATCACATAGAACCTTTAAAGTCATCTTAAAATAATATGCCGGACTTGACCAAAACATTCCATTTGGACTGTTTTTTTCCCATCTTAATAAATTAAAATTAAAACAATATATAATATTTATTGTTGCAAAAGCATCAAAAAAGATTACCCTAAATTACTGTGAAGCTTTTGAGTACCCCACAGTTAATTATAAAATAAAACGTATAACAAAAATTAACTAACACAAAATATTTTTACAACATCAGATAAAATTATAAAAAAATAATAGAGGTACCTTTTTTATCATTGTTAAATAGTTCATCTCTGATTATTAATGCCACTAATTTGATCCGTAAAAACTCTCTGCCTTCTCCGTAGCTAGCCCTTATCGATTTTCCCTCTTCCATGGATTCTATTAAGGTCTTGACAGGCTAAAAATCGATTTAATTTAGGGATTTATTTTACTGAGAAAAAAAGCAGCTGAATCTGCTTAGGCGCAACTAAATCTTTTTAAATAAACCCATTAAGGATTGACGAACAAAAAATAGTTTGTAGTATATAAATAAATACTGTGCTCATGCATTATGCTTCTGATCGATGTAGCTCGACTGCTATAGCTTTCTTCCAGTTGAAATAAATATAACTTTATATCTAAAGCTATTGACCTGCCTCATAACATCGTAAAAAAAATAATATCAGTTTATAAACTGTAAGCAAAAACATTTCTTCAAATATTTGTATAATTTATTTATATTATTATCCTTGCAAAGAATCGATCAATATCGGTTGACAACAAAAAGTATTTTTCCTACAGTTGTAATAAGTTATACTTACCGAATACGGATCAGCACCCACAGGCGCGATCTATGATAATCCTAAGGTGGTTTTATGCCTGAAGGGCATTGGATATAGTGTTTCCGATTGTAGCCTATAAATAAATATTGTGCTTATGCATTATGCTTCTGGTCGATGTAGTTCGACTGCTACAGTTTTCTTTCAGTCCAAATAAATATAAATTTATATGTTAAGCTAATGTCTGGTCTGATAACATCGTAAAAAAGATAATACCAGTTTAAAAATTGTAAGCAAAAACATTTCTTCAAATATTTATATAATTTATTTATATTATTATTCTTGCAAAGAATCGATCAATATCGGTTGACAACAAAAAGTATTTTTCCTACAGTTGTAATAAGTTATACTTACCGAATACGGATCAGCACCCACAGGCGCGATCTATGATAATCCTAAGGTGGCTTTAAGCCTGAAGGGCATTGGATATAGTGTTTCCGATTGTAGTCTATAAATAAATATTGTGCTTATGCATTATGCTTCTGGTCGATGTAGTACGACTGCTACAGTTTTCTTTCAGTCCAAATAAATATAAATTTATATGTAAAGCTAATGTCTGGTCTGATAACATCGTAAAAAAGATAATATCAGTTTATAAACTGTAGGCAAAAAGATTTCTTCAAATATTTATATAATTTATTTATACTATTATTCTTGCAAAGAATCGATCAATATCGGTTGACAACAAAAAGTATGTTCCTACAGTTATAATAAGTTATTCTTACCGAATCCGGATCAGCACCCATAGGCGCGATCTATGATAATCCTAAGGTGGTTTTATGCCTGAAGGGCATTGGATATAGTGTTTCCGATTGTAGTCTATAAATAAATATTGTGCTTGTGCATTATGCTTCTGGTCGATGTAGTTCGACTGCTACAGTTTTCTTTCAGTCCAAATAAATATAAATTTATATGTAAAGCTAATGTCTGGTCTGATAACATCGTAAAAAAGATAATACCAGTTTATAAACTGTAAGCAAAAATATTTCTTCAAATATTTATATAATTTTGTTTATATTATTATTCTTGCAAAGAATCGATCAATATCGGTTGACAACAAAAAGTATTTTTCCTACAGTTGTAATAAGTTATACTTACCGAATACGGATTAGCACCCACAGGCGCGATCTATGGTAATCCTAAGGTGGCTTAATGCGTGAAACGCATTGGATATAGTGTTTCCGTTTGTAGTATATAAATAAATACTGTGCTTATGCATTATGCTTCTGGTCGATATAGTTCGAATGCTGCAGTTTTCTTTCAATCCAAATAAATATAAATTTATATGTAAAGCTAATATCTGGTCTGATAACATCGTAAAAAAGATAATATCAGTTTATAAACTGTAGGCAAAAACATTTCTTCAAATATTTATATAATTTATTTATACTATTATTCTTGCAAAGAATCGATCAATATCGGTTGACAACAAAAAGTATGTTCCTACAGTTATAATAAGTTATTCTTACCGAATCCGAATCAGCACCCACAGGCGTGATCTATGGTAACCCTAAGGTGGCTTTACGCCTGAAGGGCATTGGATATAGTGTTTCCGATTGTAGTCTATAAATAAATATTGTGCTTATGCATTATGCTTCTGGTCGATGTAGTGCGACTGCTACAGTTTTCTTTCAGTCCAAATAAATATAAATTTATATGTAAAGCTAATGTCTGGTCTGATAACATCGTAAAAAAGATAATACCAGTTTATAAACTGTAAGCAAAAACATTTCTTCAAATATTTATATAATTTATTTATATTATTATTCTTGCAAAGAATCGATCAATATCGGTTGACAATAAAAAGTATTTTTCCTACAGTTGTAATAAGTTATACTTACCGAATACGGATCAGCACCCACAGGCGCGATCTATGGTAATCCTAAGGTGGCTTTACGCCTGAAGGGCATTGGATATAGTGTTTCCGATTGTAGTCTATAAATAAATATTGTGCTTATGCATTATGCTTCTGGTCGATGTAGCTCGACTGCTACAGCTTTCTTCCAGTTCAAATAGATATAAATTTATATGTAAAACTAATGTCTGTTCTGATAACATCATAAAAAAGATAATACCAGTTTAAAAATTGTAAGCAAAAACATTTCTTCAAATATTTATATAATTTATTTATATTATTATTCTTGCAAATAATCGACCAATATCAGTTTCTAGTACTTTTCCCGACAACTCAGTATCTAATTACGACCTTAATAAAAGTCGTTTTTTTATATAAAACACAAGCAACTAATTACCGTCATATAAATTTGTACGAGAACAGATAAAATAATAGTATACAATTTAACCAATATTTACTAGTTGCTATTAAACGTATTCGTTTATCGTTTCGATCGGTTCTACCATTGTTGTCTCTTTTTAAAGGTATACGTTAGGTAGATTGGATTGGATGTCATATAAACAACGGAATAAACACAATTTTAAAAAGTTATGCATATTTAACTTTTACAATTGATCGTTAAGTAGTTTATTTAAATAAAAAGACTGTAATTGGTAGAAAAATCATCTCCAAGGATAAATTTTAAGCAAGAAAAAGCAGGATATTCGAAAATCGTACAATTGGTCCTGGCAAAATATTAATATAAAAACTGTAAAAGTTCATGCGAACTTTACTTACTGACCAGTCCACTAGATTTTAATGGTAGCTTATAGAACGTAATATTTAAATTGTCTGATATATTGCATAACATTTTTCTCTCTGTTAGTCACTGACATGACCGTCAGAATTGACAAACGTCAAAATTCAAACCGTGCGGTAAAATCTCCGAAAACATCCGATTGCTCCCAAACCCGTGCGGTAAAATCCCGAAAATGTCCGAAGTGATTCGGATTCGTGGGAAACGAAACTGACGCTTCCCGCACGCTAGATCGGTGTGTTAATTAGAGATTTTACAAATGGGAGTAGAAAAAAGCATTTTACCATCTTTGAAAAGAGAATACACGTACAGAACTTGAGACAACTACCACGTGACCACGTTTCCTGACCAAAAAGCATTCAAATCCCGATACGATCCATTTAGCGCCATCTAGTCGATAACTATGAAAGATTGTTTGGGCCACTTACTGGGCAATGTTACTGTTTGCCAAATCAATTTTCAGTCATAGGTGAGACGGTTAGAAAATTGTGGTTTTATGAAAGGGCAATGAAATAAGCGCTTCAATTTTGTTGTTTTCTTGCAGCGAAAAGATCATCACATCAACAAGTCCAGACTAATTTTCTGAGGAATGACGCTTTAATCGGGAGCCCCTATAGCACCTATTTGAGCGTTTCGTATCTAGACCATGTATTGAAAAGTGTTATTTTTTGCTTTTAGATGGCGCCTCGCGGGGCAACTGCATCCCCCTGGTAACTCCGTCAACGTTGGTGCTATCCTCGAGGGGCAGGGTGAGGATGTCCCAAAGTCACTCGTTTCTGGGGTGCGGACCTCCCCCTCATCTGGCAGGTTATTTGGCGCCAGAGTATAGAACGAACAAGAATTACAGCGACATGGAGTTTGAGAAGGTAAGCTCGATCTTTAACGCCGCATTTTCCTTTTCATCGCTCTCTATATAATTTTAAACCAGTCTGAACAGAGCATGCGCCAACTGTCGAAACCTGCATACCCTTGGACTAAGTAGTTGTGATTTTGGTAAACATCGATATAGATCTATTTCAAATCTTTGATGGATTTGCGTCCATGCGATTGTGACCCAGAAGAATCGTACTCTTGATTGAGTTCCTTCGAACAAGGAATTGATACTTAGAGGATACTTAGGATGTTTTAGATATTTATAAAGACCCCGAAAATCGTTCTCTTCGCCATTAAATTATTAGCCGTAAATCAAAATTCGTGAAAAATATGGCCAATTGGTATAGACGGGGTTATAGGCCACATCGAGAGCTACAATTGTTGGATTTACGGTTTTCGTCTGTCGCATACGCTTTATACAGGGTGTATGCACAATAAAGTTACATCGATTTTGCGATAGGTCCATAGTGGTCCGCAGGAGCATTATAAAAAAAATCAGTGCGTCCCTCTAGGACAACAAACCGCGAAACTCTTTCGTTTTAAAATACAAAACTGCTTAAAATCATGTTTTAGTGGTGAGACTTTGATTTATTTTACTTTTATAGTAAAACAATTAGATATATATACGTATTTAAGAGGCCAACACGCTTTTCCAATAATAGATGATGATAGAAACATTGTTTTATTATTGTTGTTCTACGAGTGCTATATTCTAACCTAACAATAAACAATATTTATCATCGAAATGGATTTTGTTGTTTTTCTAAATATTCTCCATGAAGATTTTTGCACTTTAGAATACTCGTTGGAATTAATCTTTCAAGCAGATTTTACACTCCGACATAGTCAACTTCAAAACAAGCGTTTTCAAAGCATGAACCGCCTCTTCGGTCGTAGATAATCGTTGACCACCGGAATAAAAATAAGTCAATATCTGCCAAATCAGGGCTGTACTATATTTTGGCTGATCCATGACGTCTGGCAACCAAATGATTGCGTACCATTCAGACATAGGCAGGTGTTATAGATCGCTTTTTTACGACCAATGGTCTCGTCATACTAATGCCCAAGGATACCTCAATCTCACGATATGTCACATGACGATCTTGCATTATCAATTCACGTACATCATCGATGTTTTTCGGCACAACAACTGATTTTAGACGGCTCTCAAGAAATTTATCCTGAAGCGAACGTCGAGCATGATTGAATATTCGTTATACCAATTTTTCGGTGCTGTAGGATGATGCTTCATCGCCATATAAAGAACCAAGATCATCGGTGCATTCTACTAACCAACTAACCAAAACTAACAAAATTACTTAAGTACGTGTTAAAATATAAGGTTGTTCGGAAAGTCATTTCGCTTTTTCCCGTCAGAGGACTTAATTACGTTTTTTCGAAACCAACTTCACACTCAAGAAGCATAACCATTATATGTCTTGAGAGCTGATATTGCAAGGCTTGTGTGTGAAAAAGTTCTATTAACTCTACGCAGTAGTTTTTGGTTGGTGCCCTTTTAAATATGGAGAGCAATAAGCAGCATTTTCGTCACATTTTACTTTTTTACTTCAGAAAAGGTAAAAATGCTGTCCAAGCGAGAAAAAAATTGACGGATGTGTATGGAGAAGGCGTGTTAACAGTACGCCAGTGCCAGAACTGGTTTGCAAAATTTCGATCCGGCAATTTTGATGTCGAAGATGCACCACCGTCTGGAAGGCCGGTCGAAGCTGACAAAGATGCGATAAAGGCATTAGTTGATTCAAATCGGCGAATAACCACACGAGAGATCGGTGAGAGATTAAATTTGTCGAATTCGACTGTTTATGGCCATTTGAAAGGCATGGGCTTAACCTCGAAGCTCGATGTGTGGGTGACCCATGTCCTTACGGAGCGAAATTTGTGTCGTCGCGTTGACGTGTGTGATTCGCTCCTCAAACGTCAAGAAAATGATCCATTTTTGAAGCGGATTATTACTGGGGACGAAAAATGGGTTGTATACAACAATGTTAAATGCAAGAGGTCATGGAGCAGAAAAGATGAACTGGCTCAAAGCGTGTCAAAAGCCAACATTCACCAAAAAAATGTGATGCTCTCCGTTTGGTGGGATGTCAAAGGAATCGTTTTTTTTGAGCTTTTGCCGGACAATCCAACGATTAATTCAGAAGTCTATTGTCATCAACTGGACAAATTGAATGATTCACTTAAAGAGAAGAGTCCCGAATTAATCAACAGGAAGGGTGCAAAATTTTTTGGATGGCAAAACCTTTACCTCAAATGAAGATGTCAAAAACCACCTGAACCAGTTTTTTGCCAGCAAGGACCAAAACTTTTATGAGAGGGGAATTATGTTACTGCCAGAAAGATGGCAAAAGGTGTTGGACCAGAATGGCCAATATATAATTTAATAAAATATTTATTCATTATACGAAAACTGTCTTTCATGTTCCCCAAAAAAAAACGAAATGACTTTCCGAACAACCCAATTATAATGATTTTAAATCAAAACGTTCTGAGAGCATTTATGCTAAGAAATATTACAATTTTCAATGGAAATGTTAGTTTGCACCTAAAACCACTCGTTGTTGCCAAGGCCAGAAATATGGGTAGCAGCCCTCATAAGATTTGTCCACCTACGAAGTTATCGCGACGGAAAGCTTTTTACGTATTAAATATTAAACTTGATCGCCGAGGTCCCACCTAACTCGATCAACTCGAGTCCCTTGTCCGGACCCTCACTCAGTTTGTTCTCGTGTTCCAGATGTGGATATACGCTTTGGGCGAAACCCTGAAGAGAGCGACGTTAACTAGCCACGCCGCCACGTCCCGCCTGAGCACTGAACTGTGTCAAGTGCTGACCGATATGACCAGAAGTCAGCCTTTGGCCAGGGCATCGTTGATGCATCTCTTGGACGTGAGTAGTTAAAGTCTGTTCATAGATATAAGAAAGTGACTAACTGATACGAATTAAGGAAAGACCCGGGCAAGCTGTAAGAATGAAATATGGCCGAACAGGTCCGTACTTTGCTTAGAATTTAATTATTTGGGTTTTTTTTAGGAAAGATACTAAACAATATTTATTTATTTATGTATGTAGTTGTTTAAATCTAAAATAAAATTACAAATTATTTTTATTACCTACTTAAATTACTTAAAATTATTCACACAATATATCAGTATCACTATCGCTATCATCGCCTGTTCTAATTATTATTTGTTCCATTCTGCTTTTTCTACATGTTTAACAGAATTTGTCCAAGGACTACAGTAGTAACTGTAGGATTGCTTTCGACCTCATTGTTATTGGAAGGTTGTGGTGAAGTGTATTTTTTGATTGAACGCTTAATATCTTTAATGTGGAAATTATTAGAGAGAAGAGCAGAGGTAAGGTGTTTTAATTCTGTTTTCAGTGACTCGGGCTGAGATAGTTTAACGGTTCTTTAAACAAGAGAGTCTATTGATAAGAATATGTAAGAACACTGTTCTTATAAAAATCACAGTAGTTAAAAAGTATATCGGCTAAATAAAAATAAAAATATGAGAAAATTTTTCAGATATTGGATTAATATTACATATGCTTTGAAAATCTCCGGAAAGGTAATAATTGTATAAACGAACTTTAAAATACTTAGAATGCAAATTTATTGTACTTTTTTTATTATTCGTTAGGCATCCATTTTGTTAATTACTTCCTGAACGCTGTTTTGTCGTATTTATTATTTAGCGTGACCACTAAACCTGGTTTGAGATTCAGAATTAACGAAAATATTTTGTAATTGTCCAGAATACATTTTATTCCACCAGCTGGTTCTTGAAAAGTAAACAAATTTTAACAATTTTTGCAAATGTTCAATCTTGCTTTTATTTCTGAGGAACATGATATTTGCTTTGAAGGGGGCTCGTAACGAACGGAAATTTTAATTTTATTTACAACACTTCTAAATAATTGAACCGATATCGATCCAGACCACTGCCGTGAGTTGTGGAATGCCTTCTTCTTTTTGGTTCTCATCTACCATCTACCTTTCCCTGGACCATTAGCTGCAATAAATGAAATCTGTCATGTCTCATTAGGTAGACGAGGTATTCAATATATATTATATATACAATATATATTTTTTTGTCCTTTGCAATCTGGCGCAGTACTTCCACATTTGGACTACTTCAAATTTTTTCATTACTGTTCCTGCCACCGTCTATAATAGTATGGGAAATATAACACCTGGTGAGTCTTATTTTTAGTTTAAGGTCTGCTAATATATCCATATGAATTTTTTATTGCTTATATTTGTTACATTGAACTGCAAAATTATTGTGAATTATGTAAAGTGTGGTTCTTTTAATAGTATAAACTTACTTTTATAAGCAATATTTTAAAATTAAAATTTTGTTTAAGTTCCCTATTACACCTGCCAGCGCTGTCAGCGTGTTTCGCCAAGCGCCCTGTATAAAGCTCGTTAAATTTTATTTACCGCTAATATATTCAAAACTGCATCGGATATGCGTTCGCAGAGCTTTATTTTCCCCGTTCCGTGTGCAGCGACGAAGGAGGAGGATGATCGTGAACGGACCAAACGTTCGCGTAAAATCGGTAACGATCGTAAAACCGTCGTAAATTTTTGCGACGTGACGGTAGCGTCGGCCAATAAAAGGCCGATTTTATGGCTTTTAGACAAACGTCACCCGTACGGTATCGATACGGCCTTATCGTCGACGATTCGCGCGGAGCGAAAGCGAGAGAGTCGAACTTTCAATGAGTCGTCCCGGATTAAATTCGGAAGTTGGTTACGAACGGTAAAATCGCGAATTGGCGTCGCGAAATATTGAAAAGGGCAAAAAAAAACGGCGGCGTTTGTTTGGAAAGTGGGAAAATTAAAAATGATCGCGATTGACGATTTGTCGTATCGGTAGGAGTCGTTTTGTTTGCACTAATTCGGTTGGAAGCGAAAACAAAAAAGGCTAATTTTTCAGTTTACGTTTCGATATTGTCTCGAGGCTTGTAGGACGCCGCCGTTTCCTCAACCAATCATGTTAAATTTATTTTCGTTTGTTTATTTAAACACCGTATACAGTAACTTAATGGAAAGTTACAGGAACGTAATAAAACTAACCAAAATTAAACCTCCGCAATACGTTTTTTTTACTCTCCTCAGTTGTTTTAGATTTAAAATGTTCTATTGAAATGAAAAATATTATTCTGATGTACAAATACAAAAGTTGTTCAAAAAATCGTAAGCTACTTGCAAGATATATAAACTTACGTGCATTTTTTTTTAGAAACTGCTGATCAGATAAAAAAAAAGCTGTTTGAAAGACAATTTAATATGCTTTAATACAAGTTTAAATTGATTAAAATTTATTTCTGCTTTTTTGGTTTGGCATAGTAAAATAACTGCACGAGTCAAATTAACTTTTTTTTATTACTACAAACAAATAGGGTTACTGACAATTAGCAACTCAACACAACCCCCTCTTGCCCTAATATCTCTTCCTCGATTAAGCATAAATCTAATCAAGTTCGCTATTGTTTCTTGTGAAATGTTAAGCCACTCTTCCTGTACTGCAACAATAAGCTCTGGGATCGAGGTTGGGCTATGAGCCTAGCTCGAATTCTCTGTTTTAGCAATCGGATTGAGGTTGGTACTGCATGCTGGCCACTCCATAACTCGAAAACCGACTTCTGTAGTGTAATCTTGCACGATCCTTGCGTTGTGCGACCTAGCATTGTCATTCGTACGAGGGCAGCGCCAAAATTTCCCGGCCTGAAAATAAAAAAACAAAGCACAGTAACAATTTTTTATTATTTTTCAATATAATCCCCCTTAACATCAATACGCTTATTACATCTCTTTATTAACAACTCAATCCCTTTAAAAAAATATTGTTTTGGCTTGTCTGCAAAATGAGCTACAACAGCCTCTCTTAACTCAATTTCGTCGTTAAAAAGCCGTCCACGTAAGTCCTTTTTCAAATATCCAAACAAACAATAGTCGCTGGAGGCCATATCTGGACTATAGGGAGGATAATCTATCTCTAAAATCACACTCTAAGCTTGTGCAACACCAGCAGTATGGAAAGGTGCATTATCGTGCAAAAGACGCACGCCTCTGGTCAGTTTTCCTCGACGTTTTACACGTACATAATCCCTCAATTTATATAATAATTTTGCGTAATATTTACCATTGACAGTGGTGTTAGTTTTTTTAAAATCTATCAACAGAATTCCTTCACAATCCCAAAAGATCATGGCCATCACCTTTTTTGTTGACTGGCAGACTCTGAATTTTCTTGGAGATGCATCACCTTTACCCCACCTTACCCCACTTCATTGATTCTTTTTTCGATAGAGGGTCATAATAGAGAACCATAGTTCCATTTCCCGTCACAATAGTTTCTATCACAGGCTTGGGTTCCGACCCACAGGGTTCCAAAAAAGACCGCACACACTCGACACGGCGTTGTTTTTGAATAGCCGAAAGGTTTTTAGGAACCCATCTTGCACTAACCTTATGCATACCTAAATGATCATGCAGGATTCGACAAAAACTTGCATCAGAAAGCTTAATAATTTCTGAGATTTCCTTGATCGTCGATCACTCAATACCATCTTTTCCACAATCGCAACAATATCTTCCGTTATGACCTCCACGACCAGTTCTTGAATCATCTTCAAGGGAATCCTGCCCCATTCGAAAACGTTTTGCCCATTCTTTCACTACAGAATACGAAGGAGAACTTTGGCCGTACACACCATCCAGCCTTTCTTTAATAATTTTAGGTGCTAACTCTACTTTTGTCAAAAACTTTATGACCGCTCTAACTCAAGTTGCGTTATTTGCGACATTTTTTCGGACACGTCTTGTTTAAAAAGCTGTCAATAAAAAACTATTTGACGCAAGACTTCAATTTTTTTTTTCACAGCCTACTAAGATATATATTTAAAAGAAGACAAAGTGTAATCGTGATACTGGAGCTGCATCTATGTCAGGCCGGGAAATTTTCGCGCTAACCTCTCACATGGTTTTGCAGAAATCACCTGCAGATAAAAGTTATATGTTTCATAATTTATTTATTTATTTAACGAAATCTACCTAACAGACATGAAGCCCAACTAACAGGTAGGTTTTAGTACAAAGTATTAAATAGTTAGAAGCCTTGCAAGTAATGTTGATAAGAAGAATCTTAACCTAAAGTCTAGCCTAACATAAACATTAACGCTAATTAAAAAAGAAAAAACGTGGGAATGGGAAAAAATCCAAATCGTGTCGAACATTGTACTTGGGAAAATAGGTGAAAATTTTAAAATATTTGATCTTGGTGTGGCCAGAAAGAATATGTTACTATGTCTATGTAATAGGTCAAGACAATCAAGCAAGTTATTTAATAATGGTAATCATGAAAAAAACAAGAAAATCCTTGTGGGGGATATACTCCCTACAACTTGTACATAGTTCAAAAACTTTTGAATTTTTTCCAGGGTATTAATATGACAATTGACCCAGGAGACCAAACAATTGATGCGTACTCCAACTTAGACCTGACGTATATAATTTCTTTTATCACTTCCGCCAGTACCTTATTAACATGAGGAACAAAGGATAATTTTGAGTTGAATATTACTCCCAAGTCACAAAAAGTAACAGAACGAGAGAAAGTTTTTATCAGAAAGATGATAGTCTGCACTGCACTACTGATGATGGCAGGCGGGACTACATTACGCTTGGTTGTATTAAGTTGCAAGTTATTATTTAGGGACCAATCGTTGTTTTGCTCCAAACTACGCTGGAGAGTAAGACAATCCTCTGAACACAAAAAGTTTTTTTAAAAAGTTACGTCATCTGCATATATGATGTTTCGTTCCGCACTGTCCCTTTTGACTTATATCAGAAGTTTTGCCTCATTTTTGACTTTAGT